CTATAGAGAGGCTGATGCCTCTTGATGCCTCTTGATGTTGTTTATTGCTATTCGAACTCTGCAACTGCCAATTTGTAGAGTTTAAAAAACTATTTTTTATTTATTATCTTAATTTTATGTGTATCACTGTATTGTCTGCATGCATGTAAGTGCACCCATGTAATGCAATGTACACAGAGGCCAGAAGAGGGTGTCAGATCCCCAGAACTCCAGTTCCAGAGGAATGTGTGCTGGGAATTGAATCCAGGTTCTCTGCAAGTGCAGTTAGTGCTCTTAACTGCTGAGCCATCTCTCAGCAGTGTGAAGGAGGTGAACTAGAGATCATGTGTCCCTTGCATAGGGGCTGGTACTGCCACTTGGTTCCAGTGGTGGTTCAAGGTTGGAATGCCAGCTCCCTGGGACCATCTGTTTATATATTTTAGAAGAGAGTAGAAGCTATATTTCTGTGTGGAGTTTTTCAATTTTGAGATATGCATTTAAATTACAAAGAAAGATACTCTAGGGACCAAAACAACTGTTCAATGCATTGTATTAGCTTAAGGACCACACATTTGTATTTGGCCTTATCTGTAAAATACCAGATCTGGGAATACCCCTCCTCTTTCATATCTACTCCTGCCATGATGAACTCTACAGGAAGTAGAGAGGGATGAATACTGGTGCTCAGCTCACTTTCTCCTTTTTATTCAATCTGAGATTCTAACCCATGGTGCCACCCACATTTAGAGTAGTTCTTTCCACTTCGGTTAATCTTCTCTGCAAACACCTCACAGACACATCAATTCCATGGTGATTCTAAAGTCAGTCAAACTGACGACCAAGATTGACCACAGCAGCCATGAAGCTGGGCAGTTGGATATGATTTTTAGGACTTTGATGTCTTATATGACTTCATCAGTGCAAGGAATATGCAAGTTATTTTTCTTACAACAGCATACTCATTTTGTATTCAGCGCAGTGAATGTTCAGTTCTTTTTTAGAAAAGTAAACATATCCCTTGGGAAATGTGAGGACCCTACAGGAGGGGACCTGGGTTGAGGGGCCATGCATGCCAATAGCACTTCGGTGGGTGAGTCCAACCAGGTCCCCCTTGGGAAGGCCTGGGCTGTTACGGGCATACCAGACCTTTCCTAAATGGATGTCCTATGATCTGAGAACCTGACCGTCAGGGGGCATGTCAGGGTCCTCGTTCTTCTAGGCCATCAAATTAAAAGTCTCTTGAACTCTTTGTTGGAAGGCGTCAGAGAACAGCTAACATGAACTTCATGTGGAGCACTGTGAGTGCTGTGTCTGGCCCGGTGATGGCCCTCACTGACAATGAGGGTGAGTTACCGCCAGCTCTAGGACTTGGAAGAAATGTCAGTGAAGCTGTGAATTATATAGGTGTGGCACTGACACCTAGGAAAGTGAAGGGTGGGAATTGTTTGACAGGGAGGAAAATGGTGGGGGTGGGAGGCCAGCAACAGCTCTACAGAACTTCACCAGCTTGTGACCATCTGATAGGACTGTGGTGAGCTGGAATAGCCAAGAAAAGAAAAACCTGGCTTTCATTTAAAAGGAATACTGTGTGTGGGAGATGGTGATGGTGGATCCTTCCTGGGGGCAGAGTAGTTGCAATGGCTTTTGGGAGCTCTGCCAAGCTCTGGGCTCTTATGGCTGTGGCAGCTGGCAGTTAAGAGGTCAGTGAATATGAGCGCTTCTTTAAGCATTCTGGGATCTTCAGATAGAACATTCCACAGAAAATCAGAGACAACCTTAGCTACTTGAGAGCAGGCCAGAATTAAGAGAATGTTAGAACATGTTTGCACGAGTCACTCTTAGTCACTGTGACAAAATACTTGAGAACATAACATGAGGGAGGAAGGATTTAGTTTGACTCACAATTTCAAAGACTTCAGTCCATGTCACTTGGTTCTATTGTTTCTGGGCCTGTGCATGGCGAGGCAGAATCTGGTGGTAGACAGGAGGGACTGAGGGAAGGAGAGAGGGAAGGAGAGAGAGGGAGGTGAGGATAAAGGCCAGAGATAAGATGTACCTTTCAAAGTCAAGTCCCTAGTGACCTATTTCTTCCGTCTAGCCCTCATCTCCTAAAAGCCCATTCAGGCATAAGCTCATCAATGAATGAATCCATCAATGTAGTCAGCATCCTTATGATCCAGTCACTGCTCAACAGCACCGCAAACTGGGGTCCAAGTGGCCATGACATGAGCCTTTGGGGCCATTTTATATCTAAACCATACAGTGTTTCAATCCCACTGGGAAAAATGCCCCCAGGACATTAAGGTACTCAGAGGACACATTTGCCCTCTTTGTAAAACAGTAAAAAATAAAGTTAAAGAGCCATTGGCTGTGGTTCCCTAGATTTGCCAACAGTACTTCCTGGTGATTCATGGGAGTGTGGGGGAAAAGGATGATCCTCAAGAACATAAGCAAGTACCTCACCTTCTGATGTTTGCACTTGTCACTGTAAATTGACCTGAAAAAAAAATCAGCCTAGAGATGAAAGCAAGTGAAACCACCTCCTCTGTGGTTGACACCATTGTGGACATCCTTTGTAAACCCATAGATTGAGGGGTTGTAAGATGGGAATGGTGATAACATCCAAGCTGGCTGTGGTCAGGGTTTGGCATTAGGGATGGATACCTGGGGGAAAGAGAGAAAGTGGCACTAGACAGAGGGAGAAGTTAAGATACAGGACTCACTAGAGTTGTCCACCAGTGGGTCCTAGTGCTGGAGACTTAAGCAGTTACTGGCCAAGGGCCATATGGGTTGGTTCTGTCCTGGGCAAGGCCCTGTCTGCAGCTGAGAGGGCCAAGTTCAAGCTGAGAGTCCAAGTGTCTGCTGACAGTACTTTTAGCCATGTACTAGGTAGGTTCCTTTATGAAAGGAGTTCTGAGTGGTGAATCTCTGTGCCATTTACAAAATCCAGATCCTGAATCCAGAAAGGGCTGTCTGCTAGTTATTTATAAAACTGTCTTTCAGCAGCCCAGGCTTTCCTGACCACAGCTTTGGGCAGAGAAAGTGCAATTCTCATGATGGTCATGAGAGCAGAGTATAACAAGATATCAGATCTTGGATTCAGATAGACCAGGCTTCAAAGGCCACAGCAGGACTTACTAGCTGTGTGACTGTGGTTCACTGTGATGGTTTATCTGAGATGTCAACTTGACAAGATCTAGAATCATCTAGGAGAAAATCCTCTGGACACACCTGTGAAGGATGATCTTGATTAGGTTAAATGAGGTGAGAACCACTCTAGAGCAGCATCATTCCTGGGCTTGGGTACTGGACTGCACAAAAACGAGAAAGCTGGGGCTGGAGAGATGGCTCAGCAGTTAAGAGCACTGGCTTCTCTTGCAGAAGACCCAGGTTCAGTTCCCAGCACCCACATGGCGCTAACAACCATCTGTAATTCCAGTTCCAGGGGATCTGATGCCATCTTCTGACATCCACGGGCATTGTGTGACACGGGTGCACTTACATACATGCAGCCAATACACTCATACACATAAAATAATAATAATAAATAAAATATTAAGAATAAAAACTAGAAAGCTAACTGAGCAGGACCATTCATCTCTCTCTGCTTCCTGACTGTGGGTGCAACTTGACCAGGTGCCTCAAGCTCTTGTGTCCAGGATTTCCTTGCCATGATGGACCGTACCCTCAAACCCTTTCTCCCTCAGTTGTTTTCTTTGTCAGGGTAGTTTATCACAGTAACGGGAAAAGCAACTAAAATGGAAGCTGTATTGCCTTCACTGAACTTCATGGCCTCCTTAGAAAAATGGAGATAATAATAATGTGCTGGTTCTGGCTCCATTTTGAGTCACAGGGAGCCGACCTCAAGCCGCAGCCCCAGGCAGCTGTGGCACATGGCTTCTGGCTCGCTTTGTTCACTGAGGTTTTAGGAATGAGAAGCACAGTTAGTCAAGGCAGTTCTGCTCCATCCCCACAGCAACTGCATCTCCACAGACCAGAGCTTGTGTGACCTGGTCACACTCCTAAGAGCCACATGTACAGGTTTTAGCCCCGTGGATAAGCCAGTGCCTTAAAGTGTAGTTCAGCTGATTAACCATTCTTCTTGTATGGCATGAGATGTGGGACAGGAAATTTGATTAGGACATAGAGAACCAGATGTTGAATATGTCAAGGTTTGTTAGGTAGCTTGATGGATGCCCAAAGGAGGAGAGGAGAGCTTCGGGCATCAGAGGAGGATAAAAAGGCAGAGGGGTGCAGAGAGATGTGTAACTACAAGTTGCCACCGTCACAGCTCTACAGAGAACTAGACCCTTAAAACCTGTTACAGCCTACTTTTATGATTCTTTTGTAGGCTTTGTAGTGTGTTGAATAGCATGGTATCCAAAAGATATGTCCAAGTCCTAACACCATGAATCCATGAATGTGGAAAAAGGAATTTCTTAATTGGAAAATGGAATCTTTGTAGATGTTAAGGATATTGATATGAGCTTGTACTCAATTTGGAGCACAAATTCAATATATATATATATATAGAGAGAGAGAGAGAGACTATGAATATGAGAGAGAATATGAATATATATATATTCAAATTCAATGCTGGTGTCTTTCCAAGAGATGAGATCAGGGAGACTTGAAACACACAGAATGGAACACACCTGGGAGGAGTCAGGTGAAGATGGGAAAGGAGGTTGGCGATTGGAGTGGTGCTACCACAAGCCATGACTGGCACACCAAGAGACTGGGAGATGCAAAGAATGGAATTCATCCCAGAGCCTCCAGAGGGAGGATCACTTGCTGACTCTGGGCTTCCTCTCTCCAGAATTTTCAGGGAAGAAATTTGTGTTGCATGAACCATTGAGTTTGTGGTAGTTTGTTATGGTGGTTCTAGGGAACTAACACAGACCCCAACCTCTGGTCAGGTTGTGTCGCAGAGCCATTTCCTGCAAAGGACAGCTTATTACTGACTTCAGGTATTTATTTGGCTATGTTACTTTGAACCTATATCTTACTTATGTTTAATGCATGCAAATTTAGTCATTTAGTTAGCAAAATGATAAGAATAAATGGATTGACAGAGAGAGGCAGAAAGCTAGAGAAAGTGGAAAGTCGATTAGCTGGGGAGATCTGCCCGCTTCTGTGGAGTGGGCAGCATAGTGCTGAGGTGGGAGGCTGAAGACTGGCTGGGTCTGCTCCTTCTCCATGCACTCCTGTGTGTGCCATGGGATGTGCACCTTGTCACATACTGTGGGTCACAGGATACAGTTTTCATGCACATGTCCCTCCAAGCAAGCTCACAATTCTGTTGCTCACCTGAAGTAACGATTTGAAGACTAGAGGTAACAGTAGTGGTACTGGATTTCTTGCAAGATAAGATACTGCTTTCTAACACAATCTCTGAGGAATTTTCCAAGGTATTTTTTGACTATCGTCTATTAGTGATTTTTTTCTTTTGGTTTTACATGTTGCTTTTAGAATCCAAATGCTCAATAAGATTTGATTTCTTTAAATTCACTTTACTCACTGGCATGCTACAATATGACAACTTTTCCAGCAAGTTCTGTCTTTATATCTTCATTTGTATCAAATTCCAAGTTTCTTCAAACTTACATTTCTCCCTTGTTTTCTTGCTCACAGAAACTTCTGTATAGATTTGCTTTCTTTCCAGGATTTCTGGATTGGCTGTCTGGAAGAATGACTGACTGAATGTGTAGATGGCTATCTGCCTGTCCAGGTGGGTGGGTGGATGGGTCAATGGATAGCTGGGTGGATGGATGGATAGACTGATGAATTTCTAGATTTCAGAGACAAATCAAATGAATATAATCACTAAAGCAAAGAACTTGTCACATTTCTGCAGCTTAATGTGAGGCTTTGAAGTACAAACTGAGAATCGGGTTGTTAGGCAGCTCTACACCCTTGCAGATAGCTGACTTGATTTCTCAGTGGTTTTAAAATAAAGCCAGCTATGGGAGCACCTCTTTAAACTGTTGGTGCTGGGATCTGTCTACACTACTACTCAGCTAAATGTCTGTGCCTTAAAGAGCTCTTCTTGCTCCTCCCAGTCCATCTGAGCCCACCTTCCCTCTGCCACATGCTGTCACAGCTTTCTCTTTCCTTTTTTCACAGGAATGGTCACAATTTGAATCTCTACTTCTATCATGTGACATTTTGTCTAACATCTTTTATGCCCTCTTGCCTTCTTGATGAACTACAAACTCACAAAAGGTAGGATTCCTGTTTGTGTTCTTAATCTTGGTGAGCCAGTGTCAAGCTCAGTGCCTGATACATTGCTGTAATCTGTCGAAGTGGCCACAGATCATGTGCTACTGCTGTTAATGTCCAATGTAAACTGACTGGATTATGTGTTATGGTCCAAAAGTGACTTTTGTAGATCATCTGTTTATCCCAGCAATGCTGTGACATCAACACTGCTAATGCGCCTATTGTATAGATAAAAAGCTTGAGAGTGCAGCTCAGTGGCAGCATGTGCTTAGCATGTACAAGGCTCTGGGTTCTATGCTTAGAACCCCTTGCTCAAGAAAAACATTTTACTGGCAAAAAAATATTGAGATACAGAGAAATGGACTTGCTCTAACTCTCACAGCTGGGAAGGAAGAAAAACTGAGATTTAAACCCAGGCATACTGGTTTCAGAGACAGGAGGTTCTCATTGACTGACTCCATGCAGTCTATGACAGAATGGAATTTTGGCCCTAGATGTCTCCTTACCTGGAAGACACTGACATCTGCTGCCTAAAGGAATGAACCATTGAGGAACCTGGGAGGTCAGAACTGAGGGAACCTCATGGGCAGTGCAAAAATGTCCCCTATAGCTATTCTCTGGGCTAATCCTTTCTTTCTTTCTCTTTCTCTTTCTCTTTCTCTTTCTCTTTCT